AATATGGACGGAGAAAGAATATTGATCAATATGCAATATATATTAGTTCCTTCTCCGTCCGAGATTTCGGAATAATTTCTAATATTGTGGACACAAGACTTAAAAAAGAACAATAATCTTTATAACAAATTTAAAATAATAGGGTTCTCGAAATTAAAAATACAAATTAATTTTCGCACAAATTTCCGCGCTGTATTAACGCTCTCATTGCCCATATTTTTTATTATTGTATTAGTAATAATCTTTATCCTTTGAACAAATTAAAGATAACTTTGGCCAATTTCCGATTAACTTAATCAGCAATTAATTCAATTTAAAGCAAAATTCTTAATTATATATAACTAATTTAATTTCGTCTGATTTAATTTTTTTTCTTTCTACATTTCAAACAACATAATAATTCCATCCACGTTAACAAAATAGTAGAGATAACTTAACAAGCTATGTAATCATTGAGTAAATTCGGAATGAAATTGGCGCCAACGGTCTTCGAGTTACAGTTGCTACGAATCGGTATTCGTTTGATGGCATTTATAAACTGTTGCGAACTTTTAACTTTGTGTCATGTAATTTTCGCGAAGTTGTCGAGTCACGGCACAAGGTCATGAATGTTAGATAACAACACGCTTACCATAATTATTTATATCGAACGGCGGTTTCATTCCGCCGGTTAATCAGTGTCGAACTATATGTCGCTCGATTTCTGCTACCAGTTTGCCTTGAATGGCACAACCGGTTCATAATTTTTTAAGGCAAATGTTTGTTAGCATTTCTATGAAACGCGTGAGATTCGGGATGACTGGTAGAAGTGTATTGTGCGGCATGGTGCGGCACCCAACCGATTCGCAAGACGAATTCCCATTATGTCCGTTATTACAAGTGTAGATTAATCTTGGTTCGACTTACTTTTTATCTTTTTCTAGTTCTAAGAATTAGAGAAGAACAAAAAGTAAATTAAACTAAAATTAAAATTAGTCTACTTTGGTGGAAATGGACATTTAGTCCTACCTATTTAAGCTTTAATAAGAATGTTCAGATTCTCACCCGAGTGTTACCTAAGTATCATTTTAATTGAACATTAACTCTTAGTTTTTAGCACCCTCACTACACACGATAGATCTTTCGTGTTCTGGATTAATTTTCATTACTTTTACAAGTATATAAAAATTATTAAACAATTTTTACGTATATTTTTATACGAGGGCAAATCAATAAATACTCGTGTAGTAATGAAGACGTAAGATTTTCACAAAACTTTTTTTTATTTTTCAACGTAATCCCCTTTTAGGAGGATACACTTTTCCCAACGTTTCTGCCATTTTTTTAACCCCTCCGAAAAATACGATTTGTCGAACTCTGCAAAATAGGCCTTTGTTTCGGCAATGACCTCCTCATTCGACGTGAAACTTTTTCCACCGAGCCATTTTTTCAAGTTTGGAAACAAGAAGAAGTCG